GTATCTAATTCAGGAGTCAGAAACGAGGCACTAGAATTACAGCTTTAACAGAAAATAACAGGCAGAGTGCAGGGCATTCGCTTTAGAGGGGTATAATCAAACACTTCTGCTCCCTAAAAAAATTTCTGCAGACAAATACCAAGTTAAATAGGTGGTTTACTGTGCTAAAAAAGACATCAGCCTAGATCTCCTGAAAGTCCAGATTCTAAACAGAAAACTACAAGATGAAAACGCTAACAAATTTACCTTCAATAAAGATTTTTAGAGATTATCACCATTTAAGTGGACTATTTGGAATGACACTTCCTTCCTCCCACTGTGCAAAATTCATAAGAGATTGAAAATAAAACAGTTTCCCTTGTAAGTTTTACAAACACTAGAGCAAAGATTTGATACTGCAGGTTGGGTGCTAATATATACAACTCCCTCATGAGATGAACTGTTAATATAAAGAAAAGGCATCAGAAAGCACAGGGATGAGCTGCACTAGGATTAGGTTGCTGGAAACTCATAAACAGGTGAGATTAATTTTGTTTCTTCTTATTTTTTGATTAATGACATTTGTAAGCACCAGGATTTTCTTGTTATTGGTTTTGCTTAGCTCTTTTCCACAATCATCATCAAATGAAATTAATTACAATCACAACAAATAAGGTATAGCAAGGCAAGGATCATAACAACAAAGTGGCAAGTTTCACCAACATTCTCCAGAAGCAGCTACTTGGTTCAACATTCTGACCTTGAACATTTGAATAGAGTACAGGGATTTCTTTTATTCAGAGCTTTCTTTAAAAAAATGGGAACACCACAAAATGAGCAGGTCTGGTTAGATACAGTCATACAGGATATACACATATATATGCTTCTGCTGAAGGGAACTCTCTTCTTGTTCTCACTGAAAAGAACAAAGGCAGCTTTGTAAATATTTATGAAGGAAGTTGAGAGGGGCATCATCTAACTAAAGCAAATAAATCATCCACTGACACTTGCACCCTAGTCTTCACATTTGTAATATGCAGACACAGTATTTAAATAAACTGAACCAATACAACTGGCAGTCTGGGACCCTGCTCTTCCTTTCCCAAAATGACTGGATTTAAGGCTCCTTTCAAGCATTTCAACAGGTAGGAATTTTAGTGAAGGTTTAGACCTGTCTGCACAGTGTCAGACATTAAAGAAACACAGTCCAGAAAGGTTTAGTGTAGCTGCTGTGTGGAATTGTACAGCCATTATGGTACTTCAGAGCCAAAAACCAAAGTAAGTTCATGGCAAAAGATAAAAGTAAAGAAATAGACACAGAGGTCTGTGAAAACATCTCCCATTTTGCTGTAGGTGTCCATGGAGCGACTGATCACTTCTGCAGGGATCCCAGACAGCAGGAGAGCAGCAGTCAGGACTGTCGTTTTCACCTTCTTCTCACACTAAAAGGGATAAAAACACAGTATCATGTTAGTCCTCCTAATCCAATTCTGCTTTACATGTCACCAATGTTGTGCCTATTTCACACATTCCAAATTCATTGGTAAGAGCAGCAGGTTTGGATTGATTCTCTCCAGACACAGTGGAGGATTCACAGCACTTATCCCAGACACAGATTCCTGCTGTGCCGGATCCCCCGGAGCTGAGCGAGAGGCTGGAGAACAGCAGAGAAAATTGATCCCGGATATTCTGCCTCCAAGCAGGCTGAGAGGTGGGGCTGTGCAGGACTGGGAAGATTCCCAGACAGGGGCAATCTGGGTGTAAGAAGCCAAGCCTGGCAGGTCCACTGGCAGAACTGGATTAATCTCATTACACTACTTGGCAAAAAATAGAACACAGAAAGCTTTGGGTTGGAAGGGACCTTAAAGCTCATCTCGTTCCAACCCCCCTGCCATGGGCAGGGACACCTTCCACTAGACCAGGTTGCTCCAAGCCCCATAAATACTGTTAGTTTTCTAACAGAAAAATTATTTAGAATTGAAAACCCAACTGTTTCTATTTTAGTACAACTTAATTTGGAAGTTTCATCCTCTGAACTCAAAAATCTCCCAAAACCTTCTGAAAGATGTTCCATCCTTGAGATGAGGAATCCCAAGAATGCAAAGTCTGTCAGGAAGGAAAAGGTGACAGTGGCTGAAAATTCTGGTGATTTGATGATATTTGCTGGATATCTTAATTTAATCCAATCTAAATTAAGCTTTCAAGAACATTTCTATGTTTCGTGAGAGAAAAATGAAGGATAACTAACAGATTGACCTCATGCAATGAAGTGCAGTAAAAGCACATTGTGGAAAGGAAACACCTCTTTAAATTCTGAAACTGAAGAGCTGATTTTAAATACAGCAGAAACAAGATCAAGAAGATGTAGCTGATGAGCTGGTGCAAATCTAAGGCTAATTCTACTGTTTCTTGTTGTGACACATCAGCTTAGAGTGACTATTACGATATACTTAACTACAAAAGAACTGCTGATTTATTCTGATTTCCTACAGGTAATGTATTATTCCTTTTAAAATGTAAATTTTCCCTTTTAACTATGGATTGAACATCATTCAATCCCACTTTGCAGCACAAACCTGACAAAATCATCAACCTAACAAATACTTCAGCACAATTGCCTGGTGTAAATATATGAATCAAGTGATAGAGCAAATCTAGCTAATGAGCAGCAAGTTTCACACACAAATAAATGTCTCATTTCAAGCTGCCATTCAACCTGATACCAGCAATGGAATGCAGAGCTCTTAAAACCCATGTTCTGCCTCATTCTTTAGCAAACACACTCACAAATTTCATCCAGATATTACATGCAGAACAGCTGCTGACAGAGCAAACAGTAACCAGAGAAGAGCATGGTCTAGGAGAAAAGCAAATTTCCTGAAGACATGAAAGAACTACCTGGATTTCCTGGTCAGATGCTTTTAATTAGGCTACAGCTAAACAAGCTGCTAGTCCATGTTTTCACAGAAACTGTAAAAAAAGATTTGGACTAAATCTGGAAAGATTAAAAATTAGTATAAACTATCAGCATTGGTAATACAACTCTACAGGTTAAAACAAGAGAAGAATACTTCACATGTGTTGGTCCTAATACAATCTAAACACAAATTTAAATTTAAAACACTGCAAATTAATCTAATTCTGAAAAAAAAATTACCTTTGGAAAGTACTTGGACAGTCCCATGTAAGCGAGTTGTAGAGTAAGAAATGGTGCAAATATTGACTGAAGAAACAGAACAGAATATACAAAAATTAACTTGGTCAGAAGTAACAGCTAAGAAACACAGAAATGTAATGTTTCCTAAGTCATAAATAAAAATTAGTAGGTAAAAAATAACTCGTGGAACACAGCAACAGTATTCTTGAATACTACAAACCTCAGGAGACAAGTTACATGACAAAAATAAGGTTCTGCCCTATTTGGAGCCTAAAACCACAGAAATCACAGAAGGGAGCAGCAGTGAGTGAAACTGAGCCCAGGGATCCAGGAGGTGGCAGGTTGTGCCTGCCACACATCTCTGTGCTGTTCTGGCAGGCACCAGGAATACTGAGAATTACTTTTCTCAGACTGATAAATGAGTAGGATCTACTTATCTTGGGACAACTGTTACTGTTCCTAGAATCACAGAACGATTGGGGTTGGAAGGACCTTAAAGACCATCTCATTCCAACCCCCTGAAGGGCAGGGACACCTTCCACTAGACTAGGTTGCTCCAAACCCTCTCCAACCTGGCATCAAATATTTCCAGGGATGGGGACACTATTCTTACCCTATTATTCTTTTGTACACTCCAAACTAGGGGAGCAGCTGACTCATATATTCAAAAAGAAGGGAATAAATTTGCAGGGGACTTAAACTGCAACAACTACTCCAGTGCATCTGTCCTCAACCACTACAGACCAAACACGTGCTGCTCTCAGTGGTTACACAGTGGCTGTGTGGAAATGTAGTGTGTCTGAAGTTCCCAACTGGGTCACTACCAACAGACTTCAGCCCCAGATGAAGGGTATTTCACAATAAATTTGCAGAGCAGGACTGTTCCCCTGAACTCACCAGGTACTTGCACACAAAAGCCCTGACCACGACGGCGAGCAGAGCACATCCCACCAACCGGAAAATGCGGAAAGAGTCAAACTCCTCCCCGGCACTCCCGTTCTCCTGGCTCGGCTTCTCACTCATCAGCTGGTTCCTCAGCTTCAGAGCCTCGTCAAATCTGGACAGGTACTGCTCCAGCCCGTGTCTGGGTGGCCGTGGTGCAGCCTCCGGGGGCAGATCACCCCGGTGCCGGTGGCGGAGCTCCCCTGTGCCCTCGGTGACCAGCTCGGGGGCTTTGCTGAACAAGTCCTTGTCCCCCCGGAGCTCTGCCAGGCTCCCTGCGTGGTCAGCAGAGCCTGGCACGCTGCACACGGAATCTCCAAGCACGATTCGCTTGGAAACCGAAGGAATGGGGAGGGAGTTGGATTTATCCTGCTCGTGCTGCAGCTTTGACTCTGTGTGACTGTCGTCATCTGAAGGAGAGAAACAGAAACACGCAGTTACACACAGCAGGTACGTGGAACAACACTTTGGCCAAACTGGATTGGCATCCTGGGTTGATGTCTCTGCTTCCCAAGTGAAAAGAAAGGACTAAAGAGGGCACTGCTTCACAGACAGACACGGGACAGGCAGCTGGGCAGTGCAGGCCACAAGGTGAAGCTGCTGGTCAGCAGTGGAGAAGTTAAAACACTGTACTTCCCTAAGCAACAGCACTGCCTGCACAGGAGGAAAGACCTTGTTCCAAATGCACAGAGCAACATAAAACAAAAGACAAAGATTTGCAGAAGATGAATCACCCAGGAGAGCATTGAAACCTGACAAATGAGCAGGCAACAGAAGTGTATCTCTGCTGCCAAATACTCCAAAATTGCCAGAATACATAAAACTCTCTAACACTGTCTTTTTAGAGTTAGAAAGCAAGGCATTACTTCATTTCTAGCCAGAGGTGTAAGACAGATTTCAGTCCCCACACAGACCCAATAAATAATTTTTCTACCTATTTTTACATTTTTAGCAAACAAATCAATGCTTATTGGTTCTTAATTACATAATTCTCTTTAGTTAATATTCTGCCTTTTATTGGGCATTAATTTCTCGCTTTTTATGATAATTAGTTTATATCTTTAGTCTTTTTAGTATCTTTTTCTCTCAGAAGGGACTTTGTATCACATCTATGGAGTCTTTGTTACCCTTCTTTATCTGCTGATTTCTGCAAAAAGCCCTTGCAGTTCATAAATCTTGGGTTCCAGATGTCCAGCTTCAACAATACATCTTTCTCTCTCCCAGGCTTTGTTCATTGAAGTATTTCAAGGTTAACTTTTAACAAAACTTACAGTTTTGGTACTTTTCCCAAGCTGCGTTCCCACAAAAGTAGCTTATGACAACTTTCTGCTAAACACTGGCTAAAAGTGATTTAAGGCCTAACACAGCATGTATAATTAATTAAAACAACTAACAAAAGGTTAATTAAAGCTATTAAAAATTACAAAAGTTGTATCATTTCCAACAATTTGGCTTGTCTTCTATTGCCAGAGGCAGAGCAGTGTTAATCTGCTCTGTATGAAACCTCAAGACCCATCTTAGAGCAAGAGAGGCGATGGCAGAGAACAAAAGCCAAAGCAAGAGACACAACAGGTCTGGTCCTACCAGAGAGCGAGAACCAATGCTTAAGAAGAACTTCTCAGTGTTAAATCACATTGATTCATGGCTCACGGGCACCCCTGTAAACCAAAATCTGACAACTCTTTCCTGACAAGATGGTCAGCCCACTTGAAGCATATGGAGAAATATAAACGACCTACCTATGATTCTGCCAGAAAATCCTGCATGCCAACCACAAACGTCCAGCGCCTGGTCATTACCCAAACGAGAGACAACCGACCGCTATAAAAACCAAGCTACGAAAGCCAGGAGTAAATGACTGGAAACCTGGGGGAGGCTCATCCTTTCTCTAACTAAGAAAAACCACTTGCAGGGGAGGCTCACCCTTTCTTTAGCTAAGAAAACCCACTTGCAGTGAAATGACCAGGGACAGTGTCGGCCCCAAGTCCCGACGTTCTGGTGACACACGGATCTTACCCGAGGGCGGGTCCCCCGGAGGTCGCGCTGCTCTCAGAGCATCCCTGCGAGGGCAGGCGGCACTGAGGGACCCTGGGGAGCCAGCAGGCCCTGTCGCCGCCGCTCCTGCCCGCGAGGGGAGCGCGGGCAGCGCTCAGGGCGAGAGGAGCCCGAGGCGTCCCCGCAGCCCCGCGCGGAGCCCTTACACCACCCCTGCCACCCGGCTCACCCTTGCCGGCCGCGGGCCGGTGGAAGCCCATGATGCGGTTGATGCGCTCCTCCGAGTTCATGAGCAGCTTCCTGCGGCGCAGCTCGGCACGGCGCTGGGACGCCGAGAGCCCCGCGGGGGGACCCGGCGGTGTGGGCGCCGCGTCCGCCATCCCCGGCTCCTCAGGCCCGGCACCGCGCCCGCCCCGCGCCCCGCGTCCCGCGCAGGCGCGGGCACCGCCCTGCCCGCCCGCTGAAGCGAGCGCCACCATTTTGGGCAAGGGCAAGAGAAAGGCGGGACGCGCTAGGGAAGAGTCCCGCTCCCCGCGCTCTCTAACGGCGCGGCGCCAGCACTAAAGATGGCGGGCGCGGCCTCGGAGGTGACGTCACAGCGCTGTGAGGGCGGGAAGGGGCGATGGCGGCGCTGAGGGGATGGGGATGACGGGGCACCCTCAGGCTGGGCAGGGGCTGTGCACCGCACACAAGCGTGCAGCACCCACAGGGGAACACCCCAATCTGCCGCCGCACCGCTGCGGACTGACTGTGCACACTGAGCAAAGACCAACACACAAGGACCGCTCCAGGATTCCAGAATTGCTGTGACATTACAGAACTCGGAGTGCACTCAGTTCTTTCTAGCAAGACGCATAATATTCATGTTTATGCACACTAAAAGTCTATCACACCTATCCTTGTGTGATAGGTGATAAAGCTGTACCACATTAATTCTTCCTCTACCTGAACACTGCCACAGACAACCACTGGGCGACAGCACCCGAGAGCCAAACTGAAGGAGCGGGGACAGGGATCATTTCCATCGGTACTTCACATAATTGCCCTCCACATCCTCGACCCCAAACGACTTTGCTCCTTAACGCCCCAGACACTTCAGTTAGGAACAGGAGATCCCACACTGAGGGTTCCAAAGCCCAGAGCCACAGCCGGAGTGGTGGAGCTCAGCAGCAGCAGGACAGTGGGATGTGTATTGGGGAAAAAACCCCAGTGCTGACAAGTCCAATTAATATTTCAACAAAACTGAATGACAGAATTCTGTATTCAAAAAACAGTTAAATACAGAGATCTGACTACCAAGCTCATGCATTAACTCATCCACGATGAACCAGAAGCAGCGGTGACAACAGCCCATAAAAGAATTGGCAAGCGTAAAATGGAAATGACTTTTACAAAAAGGTGCTGAAAGAATGGGATGTTAAATGAAGATACAGGATCACCTACAAGAAAATTGATCACCATCTTGGAATGCTGCTGAAGGCTAAATTCCAACCATCACTGTCAGCTGGCTCATGAGACCAACTTCCTGATTGATGCATGGTATTTATCTCACTTAATCAAATACATTACTCTATTTTTATTTATAAGAAAGGAGTGATGGACTTGCATGAGTTCTTTCAATTAATTTTATTGAGTAGCCAAATCTGATAAATTAGCACAGATAAAATAAGCATTTGCATGTGTTACAAATGACTTTTTACAGGAATAAAACAGTGAAAATTACAAACTGTAAAAAGGAGGACAAGTAAATCCTGTCTCAAATTCAGAAGGGGGGAGATTTATAACTTCATACTGAAGATCAAATGTTTGAGTTCAGAAAACAAAGGTTTAATATTACAATATTATACACTACTTTACAAAATTAAATTTACTATAAGGATTACATCCATAATAGTAAACAGAACCTTAAAATCACATTTAATGGTCCCTTAACTTAACAGCCATTCTGCATCTTTGATTAAAATCTGTTAAGAAATTAATTCTAAATAAAAGTGAATCATTCTAGTTATTGCAACACAGTCTATGTGGACTTAGACTCAAATATATTAAATTAAAAACAATAATGAAAGCAAAGTAAAAATGGATGGTAACAATGTTGTTCGCTGAACACTAATGTGTCAAATACAGAAATAGCTTAAACAAAAGTGTTCAACTAGAAAAACAGACACACCTCTACCACACATTTGCAGTGGGAGAGTTGTCATGCTGAGATCTAAGTACCAGAGCCACTCTTGCCTACTTTTGCAGTTCATCTTCAGTGTCCTCATTTTTCAATGTTATGTAAAAATGAGAAATCCTAGGTAGTGTGTGTGTCCATCTGCCCTGTGTTGCCCTTACAGCAGTACAAGTGAACCAGCAGGCCTTCCCCACTGCTAGGGAATAAATTAATACAGAATTTCTTCCAAAGAGAAGAGAACTCCAAGAGGGTTCATCGGACTCATTTATCATGTTTTGCTCTGTCAAACTTAGGGACTGCAATTCAAAGTTGTTAATTGCCACAAAGACAGACACCTTCAGCCATTAGTCTGGTGTACATAAAGCAATGAGGCCACCTCCAACATTTATGTTTCTTAAAAAAAATAAGGGATATAGTAGCAAAATACAGTCATAGTAACAAACAGACTTCGGGTGGGCTGTTAGATGTAAGGATGGTTTTCAACATCTGGGTGATAATATACCCAAAACACAAGGTTTAAGTCAGAACCTATGCAAGTGCAGAGGTTCCATTTATGATTTAAATGAAGAGACCCCTTTCCCCCCTGGAAAAAAAAAATCAGACTGTCAAAACTTAAAAAACCTCTTCACTATGACTAGAAACTGTGCAATTCTCTGAAAAGCTGTTCAAGTAAATATATTCCTGTTTGCTACGGAGGCAGCAGACAGGGAAGCTTAAACTGGTTCTATAATAGGCTTTCCATGCTATTTTAGTCATTGTTCTGAACTTTAGCTTCTTGTGCTCAAGCCACAAGAACAATTTCCCCCAAGGAACTCCTCCCCTGAAGTAAGGCAACTCCTGACAATCACGTGCAGCTACAGCCTGAAATGGGAGCAAATGTTGACCCAAATGTTGACCCCACTGACATTTGTGTCACCAAATGTAAGTGAACTAAGCACAGTACGTTTGACCACTTACAAGTGTACAACCTCTTCAAGTTACTTGGCCCAGGAAGCAGGTTTTGCAAAACCTTTAAGTTTACACTCTTAAACAAAAAAGCAAACCAAGATTTCTCCATACGCAACACTTCCATAGGCATAGGGATACAGCAAGTTAAATACTCTGTGTTGGTAGCTATCAATGATAGCCTAATCTTCAAACCAGAACAACTATCAATACACTTCTATAAAGTTATTTAAATACTTTTTGTATATAAATTTTCGATTCAAGTCTGATGTCAGCTTCAATCTGCAGCTCTGGCAGGATCTGAGAGTATATTTAAAGCTTTTATTTGGTGCACACTGGCTTTGGACCTGGGCTCATCACACAGCTACAGTAAAAAAACCCTCCTTTGACAACTTCAGGCATGTCTGCAATGATACACGAATCTTCAAATGCGATATAATAATTTTGTTCTTGGAAAAATAATTTCCTGTTTTAACATCAGAACGTTCAGTGTTGTCTCTAAACGTTCGGCCCCAAGCGCTGCCACACAAACACCAGATCTGAGGGGCCCGACATTCAGTTCACGTAAACAACAGCCAAAAGTCTACTGAACGTAAACCCAAACAATAAATCTGAGATAACCTCCCTTGCCCTTCCCCTCCCACAAACTGAAATTAAAATTATTCCTTCTACTGAAGAAAAGCAAAGCTTGCCATCTACCAAGCCTACTCTTGCTGCTGACTCAGCCACCTCATGTAGGGCCCACTCCTCCCCAGCTTTTAAATTAGAATACTGACTTATTAAAAGCTTTATGAATTCAGCCATCTCGTCCAGGTTAAGCTTACCTTTAGTCCTATTAGCCATAATCCAAATCCAAGCACTGGATTCTACACTCCGTAAGTATTTGTTCATTTCACAATGAACACTTGTTTCATTGCTACTTTAAGCATTAAGTTGAACATTGAGATGCTCTGTCTGTAATCACTGGATGCACTTAGAAAGAATTTCCCTGCAAATCATGATCAGTATTGTGAGGTTTTATATCTAGCAGCAAAAAAAAAAAAAAAAAAGGCAAAAAGTTACAGAAATATACATTTTGAACAACAAAGAACTCTTTATTTTACAAAATGTATTTCACCTTTTCAGTATTGCCTTTGTAAATGTACTTCATGCTGCAACTACTTACAGTAAAAACACGATTTGCAGCAAATTAAAGGTGCTCAACCGGTTCCAACAGGTTGATTTTTTTTTTTTTTAAGGTACAATATTTATGTAGTTGCACATTTGATTCTCAGATGTGGTCCTTTATTTGCTTTAGTTCGTTGAAATCACAGTGAGAACTTCTCATTGACTGCCTCAGGCCACAGAATTAATGAAGATATTACAAGCACAATCATTCTTTACTGCAAAATCTTTCCTTAAAGAAGTGAGCCAAAGGCCAGTGTTTCATTTATTCACTTGCTGCTGTATATGAAGGAGGAATTCATAGTATGATAAGGCTGATTCTGTTCTGTCTTCAATCATATTTTGCAGAAAACTTGATTTCAATGGACTCTCATCCCTTAAAAATGAAAATAGTGTTTGAGTGAAATAAACATTTGCCAAGAGCTACAGTGCAATACATTGATAAAGTTACAGGCAAAACATTTCAAGAGCTTAAGGATATATGAAAAGAGCCCTTAATAGTGATTAATCCTAGTAAGGGCACTTACCAGCATTTACTTCATTTATATGACATTACCTAAAGATTGTTCTGTGACATTTAGTCTTTTATAGTCTGTGGAAATTCTAATTTAAGACAACTCACAACGAGTCATATCTGTTGTCAAATCTGTCAGGCACAGCACACACCATCATTAAAACTTCCATTAAGGAAGTTCAGTATATGATATCCAAATATGTATTGTTAACAGGTTCCTGAAGAAGTACAACGACTTAAAACCCACTTACTTTATTATATATAGTATAGGAAAGAAAGGTCTCTGTTCTCTCAGCCAAGAAACAAAAGCTCGTGTTCTGATGGATTCTGCAGTTTCAAGTTCTGGGAGATGTGTCTAAAA